TCCTTTGGCTCTTCCTGGCCATGGGAGAGGCAGTGGTGGCAGGAATGCAGGAGCTGTCACCTTGCACGGGCTCCTCGGGATGGGGAACACTGGTGGCTTAGGGTTGTCTGGGAGAGGTGGGTGGTGTACAATGTTCAGAGCTGGTTTTACTCTGGTCTTGCAGCCTGCAGCCTCTTCACTGAGTTTTGGGCAGCTCCTGTCCTCCCAACAAGTCTTCGGGGAAATCTGCGTTGTTTTTCTCTCTAGTCCATCTTGAGCTCCATTTGTTAAGCAAATCCCCAGGCAAACCTGGCTGTGAGGAATTGATGGGGCTGGAGGTATCACTGGCCTGATGCAGGACCAAACACATTTTTGGGATAGAAGTGAGGAGGGAGCAAGAGCAGCCAAATGAGCTCACACCACAGACTTGCAGGCAGCAGGCTGGSGAACAATAAGCCAGTGGCCCATGGGGGACCCCCAGCCAAAGCAACTCAGGTGAGGGCAACAAATTTGCTCTCAYGGGCTGGAAGGGGGCAGCTGGTGAAAGAGGGTCTGGGGCAGCACCAAGTCAAAGAGACCCACTCATTTGGGGTGCAGATATCACCAGTGGGAGCAGAAAGGGACTGGTATCCAGAGGCTGGTCCATTAAACTYTGCTAGAATGAGCACAWCTGAGTGGAAGGAGGGACACAGCTYCATTAAATTTTAATGCTCAGCCCTGACCTATGTTCACTGAGACAGTAAAAGCATTGGAATTGCTGGGAATTGATCCCTGTCAAGATGTAAAATACCAATGCTGAGCCTTGGAGATGGGGCGGGGAGTTAGCCAGGAGCCAGAACTGCCCTGGAGCAACTTCCTGACAGAAAGCAGGGAAATAAAAAAAAAAAATTAAGTCCCAGATGGAAAAAAAAAAAAAAAAAAAAAAAAAAAAAGACAACATGCCTGGACTGGGTGGGAGAGGCCACTGCTGCCAGACACAGCCCATCGGGGCAGGAGCCCAGTGCCATCCTTTTCCCACGCCTTCCTCACCCTCTCCAAGAGGAGGGAGCTTTCAGCTCAGAGCAAGGACATCTACTCACCTGCAAATATTCCCTTTCCTGGTTCCACCTCTGAGTTAAACCTCTAGCAAAAGGGCATTAATAATGTGCATGAATAAGTTTTTAAACTGCCACTACTGTTTCCTGAACACTCACTAATCCAAGCCTCCCAAAGAGCCCTTTCTCCATGGAGGAGGTAGAGGAAGAACTCCAGGAAGGTGCTGGGGGTGGCACAGCAAATTGACATAAAGTTAATAAAGTTACTGACTCCTTCAAAATAACTAATCCTTGCACAGGGTCCCTGCAAGGACACACCCACTGCATGGGCACACGCTGCTTTGTGAGAAATTGAACTCCAGGCTGCTGTAGCTGCAGCTCTGTCATACTGGGGATGGAACAAGGAGGGCATTTGGCTGAAGCCTCAGCTTCAGAAAGGGTTAATGGCACATGAGAAATGTTTAGTGGGATTTGGTATTTTTTTTAAACTTCAACAAACAAAGCATATGAGAAAATCCAGTTCACAGCTGAGCCCTGGCTGCCTGCCCACTAGGGCAGGGAAAATRGGGATGGTTTGAAATACCCACACGCTGGCCTTTCTCATGCTGCCTGCAGCCCAGGCTCCCAGGCTGGTCTCCCCACATTGTATTCGAATCACTCAAGGTGGCAGCAGTGCAAATTGCACTGTAAAAGCAGCACTGATTCAGGAGCAAATTTACTTCTGTTGAGCAGGGCCGGCTTCCTCAGGCACGCAGAGGAGCCGGGATCCTGCGAGGCTCTGCTTGCTCAAAAATAGTAATTAGCTCTCAAAGTAAATAGGTGTTAACAGAAACAAAGAGCTTTGCCACAGTCTGGGTAAACACTTTAGAATCAATTTAATTTCCCTTCTCCTGGCAGATGTAATCGTGCTGCTCTGCAATTATTTTCAGGTCGGGGCAGGGAACAAAGSCACTGGGGCAGCTCTGCTGAGTGGCTGCTCCTGGGGACAGCTGGCAGGACCCACCACTTCACTGACATTCAGGCCCCTGAGGCTGAAACGAGCTTCCTTCCGCTGAACCAGATGTAAAATGCAGCTGGAGATCAGCAAAACCAGCAGTGAGCCCTAGCACAACATTAAACYGCCCTAAAGTCCAGCCTCCTTCTTAATCCTCAGAGTCCCCCTGTCTAGACAGGACATGAAGGACTAATGTGAAAACCAAGTGACACAAAATTTAAGCTTTCCCATCGAGCTGCAAACAGAAAGAAGCATCAAAGGGTGTAAATTTGTTTGTCTTTTATTTGTTTTGCCTTTTGGTAGCATGGGCAGAACCTAAGCACGGTTCCACACTGGTGCAGAGGGTTTGCAGCCAGTTTATATCACTGCTTCCAGGTTGCCCATTTGCTTACTAAATCATGCTAAAAAGCAACTGAAACCCTGCCTTTTCCCTGCCCTGGTGGGGAGCTGGCGGAACAGGCTTTCCCCAAACGGCCCCAAAAACAGATGAGTTTGTCCTCTGTCACCAGGTGGGTTATGAGCAAATTGGTGACCAGCGGCTGGGGCTCAGCTGATGTGGGGTGTCCCTTCCAGGAGGAGGTAACTCAGCATGTGATGACAGCTGCAGTAAATGCAGTGATGGAGCATTCCCCCAGCTRGGATGTGAGTACAGCCCAGATGGGAACAGCCTGGCTCTGGGGCCAGACCCAGCACGGCTTTTGGGCCACTGTAAAGCAGTCACACACCCAGGAACAAGTACAACCAGAAAAATGTGCACAGTGGCTTCCCTGGCAGTTTCTGATCTTKTTCCACCACGCTGCCTGTCTGCTGGGAGAAGGAGGTTTAGTTAATTAATTGCTACAATTAGCATGGAGCTATTCCTGCCCATGATGGTTACCTTTTCCTCCCCTTTTTGGTTCAGTCAATTACCGGACTCATTCATTCTCCAAGGCATAGGCTACAACAACGCAGAGAAAAGCTTGAAGATGAGGGGAGAAAGGTTCAAAAACGAAATGCCAAGTGTCCCAAGCCCTGTTTCTACCCAGGAACTGTCTTTGTCTCAGAAAAACACTTGCTCCTCTCCCCTCCATCCACCCTTCAAGGAGGTGATGAAGAGGGAGCACAGCACAGCACAGCACAGCACAGCACAGTTGCAAACATTGCTATGACTGTTTTATTACTCCCTCCAGCTGACACATCACAAAGGATGTGTGATGGGCTTATATACGCCAAGATGGACAAGATTCCCAACACCATCATGCCACAATGATCCCTCAACTTCYCCGCCCAGCCTCAGGCCATGGGTTCCTCAAATGAACATTACCCACTCTGAAAATTGATGATTTATATGCCATTACTTAGCAGGGATGGTGAAGGAAAGGTGAGCATGGGGTCACTGCTTCGGCAAGGACTAAAGCAAAGCACCAGCCCTGAATAATTCATGCTCCCTCTTTGCTGCAGCATCTGGACACATCTGCTGCGTTTGCCGTTGCAGGCTTTTTCTTGGCTTACKCAGAAAGTCACGCTTTGGCAGCTGGATACTGTTTCAAGTGGGTACTTTCCCTACAGCATTAACGAGCTGTGATTCTGTTACAAATAGGGATTTTTGTTCCTCTTTTGCTGATGTCACTCCGTGATCCTGCAGGGAATAGCGCTCGGATCTCGGCAGCCTGATGATCCCTGTGTGCCCTTCGGGACAGATGTACTTGCAAGAGGGAGATTGTTTTTCCTTTTGCTGCCCAGATTTATATTTCACTGAAGTCCCGTATCAATCCTGCTGCCGCTGGGCTGAAAGCTCATTTTACTAAATGAGAAGAAAAACAGTTCCCCCAGCTGAACGCACGCAAAATGGAAAATCCTGCAATGAAACAGCTCTTAAAAAAGGGGCCTGGACAATTTTGCTCAACCTCGAGGGCTGTGCTGCTGCCACTGGAACGGTATGTAATTTATTTAGMCTGACCTTTCCCTGAAAGACCTGGCTGGCAATGTTATCAAGGATCCTTTCTCCCACTTGTGCACCCATTGCCAAGGTGACATCCTGTTTCATGCGTCAGTCAGTGAGGATCGCATCCGCGCTGCTGCGATGCTTTGTTTGCTGTCCTGCCTGACAAGCTCTTGGCAGGGTTTCAGCTCCTGCGGATGGCAGCTGCTCCACGAGGGACCAAAACAGATTCAAGCTGGACGTCATTACAGGGAGCTTCATGCAGACAGAGCACAGGCCTGGAGTCCCTTGGATGAGACTGGACCATGGATGAGATGAGGCAAAGATACCCAGAGGTGCTAGCAGGTATAATGGGATGGGCAGGTGATTGCACCCCAGGCTGATTCCCCCATCCCATCTCACTGAGGATTTATGTGTGCCCTCGTGGTGCTGGGAAAGCAGAGGAAGCTCACCTCTCATTAATCAGTGCTTAATGCAGGGGTTTGCCTAAGTGAAACTGAGTTTGGATGGCGGGGAACAGATCCCACCACTGCACATAAACTAGTTGGAGTTTTCCTTCTCCCCTCCCAGTGCTTTCCCTGAGGATCCCAGGAAAAGATGGGGATGAAGGTGCAGGGATTATGTCTGTCCCTTCACGTGAGAGCCTGTCAGCAGCAGGGACAACTGCAGTGGAGAGGAAAATGGCTCTATTAAAGCTTCTGCCCCTACTTCAACAAGGGATTGAAACTTCTGAATGAGGGGGAATTTCACTGCTGGTTCCCACCACTCTCAAAGGGATTTTGGTGACAAAAGCTGCAGCTAAAAAAGTCCCCAAACACAACCAAATTCTTGTAAGAGACTGACAGGTCGCCAGTCACAGACAGTCAAAATGAATTAGGCAATTGGCTCTCACTGGAGCCAAGCCAGCTCTTTAGATGTCAAAGGCACGAAAGCCTCATGGAAGTTTCCCATATGTCCATCCATTTCCACTTCAGCCCCTCCAGCCCTGTGGCAGACTGAACCCCCCCTCCCACAGGTCTGGGCCTACTGGGAGGACAAAAGATGCTCTCAGCCTCTCTGTCTGTCATGGTACCTGTGTTCTCCTCGGACTGGTTGAAGCCACAGATCTGGCAGATGCTGCGAACCCATTTGTTCATGTCGTCCTCAGTCTCAGCCACCAGGTAGAAGGTCCTGTCACTCGTCTTGATGTCAAAGATGTAGCTGTCTTGCAGCTCCTTCTTGTTGAAGGTCAGGCCCGCGTCCACTTGCTCGCAGAAGTTGAGGTTGATGACACGCAGAGGTTTCTTGGAGTGGTCATTTTTGTAGTACTCCAGGACATCGGGGTCRCCGCTCATCCGACCGCTGCGCAGGACGAACCAGCGTTTCTTCCATGCCTGAAACAAGACAAGAGCAAGCATGAGCCCCACTGCTGGATCTGTGAGAGCAAAAAACCACTGCCAGACACAGGGTGASACGGACAGACACGACACTTCACCACAGGATGCCCTGGGATGCTGCTCAGGCATATCTGCAAGAGCTGCAATAGACTCATCTCAGTTCTTCAGTTTAATACTAAAATACAGGAGTATTAAATGCTGAAATAGAATTGTGGCATAAGACAACCCCAAAAGGTGCCAGTCTTGAGGTTCAGAGGAACCTTGCCATTCTCCCAGAACCCAAATGCCCTTTTCTCTGTGATGTGGGACAATCTGTGCAGTGGTATCAATGGGTGTCCCAGTGCCAAAATGCCTTACAGCAGCTTGGAGGAGCTTAGGCACTTTGGATGCAGCACCCTGAGCGTCCTAACCTTCAGAGAAACCCCTAAGAGCATCGTAGAATGTTTCTGCAATACTGACCATGCCAATCCCATCTCCATTTAAATGCCAGGATAGAAAGACTAATAAAAACCAAGGGAGAGCTGGTTTGTTTTTTTTAAATACCAGGAATAATGCCAGGGAGACCCAGGGAGAATCCCAGCCTCATTTGTCTTTCAGCATCCTCTGCTCCCTGGCACGCAGGTAACTCCGTAGAAAAGGAAAAGGTTATCATTGATTCCTCCAAGCACTGCTGACGGCGGCCCCCGGCCAAACCACCCACGGAACRGGCTCAGGGGGCTGCGGAGTTGGAAGCAAAGCGGCAAAATAAATGTCAGCCATCAGCCTGAGAGCCACGGCTCTGCTGCTCTYCCCATGCCAGACACAGCTGGGAGCCCACTGGAGGAGGAATAGCCACAAGGATACCGTGCTCAATGATAAAACTGCAATTACAYGGGAAAGGGTGCAGATGTAACCTGCCATGAGGTGGGCACGGCGCTTTTTCAGGGTGTGCTCTGCATGGGGATCATGGTGCCTGCACGAGGGATGCAAAGGGTGAGGGGCCACCTCGAGCTGCTCCCTTTTGCAGAGCTGTGCTCCCTCGCAGAGGCCTCAGCCCCCATGAAGTGAAGGTTTGAGAGGTGCATGTGGGTAAGCAGGGTGATGTGAATTACCAGTGCTCCTGCATTACCTCACACAGACTGTTTGTACCAGAGGATGCCAAGGGAGGGGATGTGACCCTCACTATCCTGCCCCAGTTCTGGACATTGGCACGTTTTTAATGAGATTTACCTTATTTACATTTTGACATATAACCAGTTTTGGAATTCTGACGATTATAAGAGAGGCCGGGTTATGAGGAAACACACAATGCTTCTAAGAAGGAAGAACCAACAGCCACAAACATCTTTAGTAAGCCAAGAGAGGCAACGAGGTGAGCAAAGAGCTGGGTCCCTCATGATGCTCCCCGGGTGCTGAGCGCAGGCTTTGCATATTGGTGATGGGCACGTGATCTCAGCCAGCCAACTGCACCAGGATCCCACAATTTTGAGAATTTCATGGCTGAAATAAGGCTAAGAAACTCCTRTATGTCTTCCCTGAACAGCCTGATYCAGACCATGCTTCTCAAAAGCTTAAAAATAGCTTTTGTTGGAGTCTTTGAGATTTGTAACCAAATTAGTTTTGCACTAATTCTCAAAACGGCTCCTGGTGCCAGGAAAGTAACTTCAGTGCAATCTTCCAAGGGCAGCGAAGCAGCAAATTGCTTAGCAAGAGGACGTGCAAGGCTGGCAGATTTTGGCTTAACCTCACCCACTTCTCATCGAAATGGCTGCTTTTGAGTGACAAAATAGACACAGTGGAGCTTTGTCCATCAGGGAGGGAAAAAACCAATTTCACCAGGCAGCAGCAATAATTTGCTAGTCCATCTCCTCAAAACGATCACCCAAATCACTGGGAAACTAACTCATGTACATTTTTTTCCTAGTTCTGGGCAGTAAATATCCCTTTAGTTTCTTCCTTTGAACACTGAGTCGTTTCTGTGCAGCTGCTTGGCTGGACTGAGACATGGGCACCCATCAGTGAGGGGACTGCAAGAAGATGGAGCTGTGCAGCCACATGAACCAGCACCTGAATGCAGACACCCAGCACCAGCTTTTGCTGCTCAGCTTGCTGCTTTCCAACCCTTTAGAGACCAGTCTTGCAGCCTCTCTTCATGGCTGAGACATTGCGTACAAAACCCACCAAGTACAGAAACTAGACTGTGGAATTTAGAGTTTTCATGGGAAAAGCAGGAGGAAATGCTGCAAGCAAGACAAATGGTGCTACCACAACTTCTCCTTTTATCGCCAGTGTGAGAACCACAACTCCTCCAGTTCTCTTTGGTCTGTCTGGTAGCATTGGAAAGTACCACACAGTCAAGATCTGGCAGAGAAAACAGCGKAACACATACAGCTGGGTGGTTTGGGGTAAGTTTTAACATGGGCTGGTTGTGAAAGAATGGGTCTTGCCAGCACAGCATTTCTTGGAAAGCTTCAGGAACTGGAGTATCACTGGAGGGTGGAACCACTGGGCAGGGCAGCAGACCCCCCAGCCTGGGCAGAGCACCTTGTCCACCTCTGCACGGTGCCCTCCCGATGACAAAGAGTCACTGGTGCTCTTGTGACCCCGAGAAGGAGCTCAGGGCAGCACTCTGGAGTGCCTGTCCTGGACAGGTGGCTGCAGGCAGCACAGCTGGAGGCATCTCCCACCATCCTGCCTCACAGCAGGACCAGCTGTTCCTGCCTCCTAAGATCAGCTTCCAAGCCAGAGGAATAATCATTGATCACTAGAAGAGAATGGAAGTAAACAGTAAAGAAATAGCCAGGAGCCTCCTTATTTTTGTAAACATTTTCCCCGTTTCTTTGGGTTTTTGAGTACAGGGCTCAGCAAGTGTATTTTATTTCTTTCCTGTGGATTWGCTATGCCTTCCTTAGGACCAGAGCTCAGCTTGTTTTTGCCAGGCTGTGGCTGCTCTTGGAGCATCTCTTGGCACTGATGCAGCTTGCTTCAACAYGTCACTACATGCAGCAGAAGATATGTAGTTTGCAACACATGGCCCATCCTCCTGAGACACCCATTTCCCCATTCAAAGCTATCAATACCATCCAAATGTTCCACGTTTAGGCTTCCCCAGGATATCACCTTCCTGCAAGAGAGTGATTTCAGGGTCTACTGACCGCCAGCTATGTCAGCAGTAAGATGCATGGGATCCATATGTGCGTGCCAATCTCAGCCCATGCCAAGCCAAGAGAGGATGCAATTCCACATGAACCTGCAACTCYTTCCCAGACAGCCTTCTCCCAGCATGAGGCTGTGATAGCCAACATGCATCTCATCCTCCACCTGAATTTTCTTTCTCTATTTCTATTTCTTTGCAGCTCTTTTGAAGCCCCTGTTGCCATCAGGCTGCTCCTGCCAAAACTCTGTGCCTCCCTGACACGTGCTGTGAGCCAAGGGCTGTGTTTGTTTAACAGCTTTACAATGTTGGGAGGCCAACAGCTTAACAGCCATAAAATGGTGCTTTGCAGCACACATTTCCAGCTGTGAGGTCCTTTGCTGGCATCAGGTTCCTTCACGGTTAATCACAGCTGCCAAAAGCCCTTAATATCATTGGGAAATATTTTGACACATGGCAAGTACTTCTTTTAGAGACTTGTTCGTTAAAAAAAAAGTGCCCATCACGCTCCTATTGCGATGTGAATCCTCCCTGSGTGCTGAGAACTGGGGATGCTGCTCAGTTGCATTCCACCTCAGTAATGCCTCTCTGCTCCCCTGTTCTCTACAAAGTGAACAGACAGTTGCATTCCACCTCAGTAATGCCTCTCTGCTCCCCTGTTCTCTACAAAGTGAACAGA